CAACGTTGTTTTTACTTTGTAAATCACTTTGCATAAAAGCGTCTGCTAAATGCATAAACAAACAAACAAACTTTCAATGAGGATGGTGTTGGCAGAATCATCCTGTGGAGTTTTTTTTTTACTTTGTCAGGAATGTCAAAGCTGGTCAGATAAAATATAAACATAGCTGGAAATAAATTGCTGTGTTTCCTAAGCATAAAGTCAAAGCTGCAAGTAAAGGCCCAGAGCTGCAAGTAAAGGCCCAGAGCTAAATCCAATTGAGAATGTGGGACGGGATTTGAAAGTTGACGTGTCAATACGATCCCTATCAAATCTGACTCAGCTCAAGCTTTTTATTGACGGAAAAACATCTAAATTTACATGTTTAAAGCCAGAAACATACTCCAAAAGACTTGCTGCTTTTGTTCATAGCAAAGGGTAACTTTATGAATTATTGAGACAATGGAAAATGCGAATACTCTTACTTGTAAAAATAAATAAATAAAATCAGTGTATTTTTTTCTACACAACTACAATCTACTTTGTTTTGGCTTTTTGCACAAAATCCCTATGAAATACTTATGTTTACAACATGACAAAATGGGGAAAAGTTCATATATGTGTTATAATTTATGAGTAAGTGCCTTATCAGTGTTGCTATTTTGCCAGATATGCATTTGTTGCAGATCATGAAATGCAAGGTCAACAGATGGAGCAGCTCACAGACACGGGAACTTTATGTAGAAGTGGTGATAAAGGTGTGAAGACAGACTAATGAGGGAGTGAGGGGGATTCACGCCGAGACAACACCATCAGATGACTGACTTCCTGATTCGGTGGAGAGCACCTCCAGCTGGAAGCCACCAATCCGAGAGGCATGGAGAGGAGGGGGGATGTCAATCTAACCTAGCTATGGAGTGAGTGCAAGTCTCACATCCCTGGCAAAGCCACGCGCGGTAAGGAGACATCAAGTTTGGCATAAAACGGACAGACAGGCTTATGGTGACACTCTGACTCAGTCTGGGAAAAACCACAAGCTGGGAATAGCAGAGTGGCAGCAGTGTGTGGGTTGTTGTGAACAGTCTGTAAGTGCTGCAAAGAAAGAGCGACATTTGAATGAATAGAATGATGTCTGAAGATATATCACAATAAATATGGAAATGTAGGAGCCAAGTAATAAATTATCTGGTTTTGGACTTAAAGTTTAGGCAGAAATCAGAAGACAGTGAGCCATGTTTGTCCCTTTCATATCAGATGTTCCCGTACACTCGTTCAGCTGTCACTTCAACCAAGAAAAATGTCATTGTTTTCCTCTCCCTGCTCCAAACACAATCTAATCACAGTTTTATCATCTCCCGGTGGCCCCCAAATGTCTAACACAGCCCTGGTCTGAGGCAGACCAGACTTCGAAATTATCCTCTTCATGTCCAACTAAAAGCACTGACACACCTGCCTCCACTCACGTGCTCTTAGAAGCCGCTGATCAGAGATAAGACGGCGATGGCGTTCCCCCGATAAAGTCTGTCAATGTGCGATTATAGAAGAAATCTGTTCTGCGTAAAGCAGGCCTGCCAGATATTTGGATCTAACTGATGTCTTTCTTGTCCCTGAGCCCAAACAGATGACTACTTATGAGCTTTAATACATGAACTAGATGATGACTAGAGTGTGACTCTGATTTTATTAGCTTTCCTTATTTTTGATGGTTCAAGGGGAAAATAGTTCTCAGCATGCCTGCTCTCTGCTGAGCCCCTTTGGATGCCGTGGTACCGACCAGCCTGTGCTGAATGGTGGTAAGAGCTAAGCCATCTGTTCAACTCTATTTTCATGGCTCTGTATGTCATCAGGGAATGCTGCAAGCTAGAGGAACTTAAACTCCTAAAAAGTCCCGTTTGCTCAACAGGTCAATTTTAAGCTCTGTTTAAAGGCACTGCTAAATGACAAGGCCCAGGTGATTGGATACCTTCTACAGAGCAGACTAATAAAAGAAAGAAATACATGCTGAGAAGAGATTATAGTTCAAGGAAGACTAGAGGAGATTATTACTGTCAAGGTTATTAAATGACCATACACCCTAAAATGCACTTTAAGGTGGGATAAAAGGCAGATTTTATTAATTAAACTTTGTTCACACAACGTCCTTCTCGGGTTGAGAAAGGATAAATTTGTGTATTCCTGGTTGAGGATGAAACAGAAGCTGGCAGGATTCATTTGAGATTACTCAGTGCAAACATAGTGTAATCCCCTTATCTGCGTACTTACCTGTCCCCGACAGTGATCCAAGCCTACCTCTATGAGCCTCATTGGCCTGACATTCTGGCACGGGCAAATCCCTGTCTAATGTGTCAGCTCAGGCAGCTTTAACACCTGGCACAGCAGCGCTTATCTGCCGAGCACCCAAAAGAACCTGCATTACACCACTGAAGGTTCACAACAAGTGAATGGGCTTCAAATATCCACACAGTGAAATTGCTTCTTGCGTTGAACAGGCAATATGTAAAGCTTAGTCTGTTACTATGGGCTTAAAACTGGATTAAAGTACATGTACAGAGTGACATATACAGCTACAGTCAGGATGTGCATGCCTATCACTGGATCCTTTATTTGTAATGGCGGTGTGAAATGATAATGCAAGAAGTCGTGCCAGAAGTCTGCAGTTCTTATTGAATTCCTCTAACTCTCCTACATTTTCAATTACAGACTCTAAAATATGCCAGTAGTATTTACCCACACTATTTCTTTATTTGCTAGTTTATGTTATGAATCTGCCAGGATAATCAGAATTTAGGAGTGAATTTAAATCGGTTGATTTTGTAGCCCTGATCTGGCATTTAAAGAAAGGCCTCCTATAGGCTCAGCTATTCCAAAACCAGTTGGGATTTACTATATTTTGGTTTAGTGCCCAATATTACAACCAATATTATCTAGATTTTAAGTGTATAGCTGTTGATTGGAAGTGAAGTTATCACTCCACCCTCATGCAGTGCATCGGAACCACTGGCAGCTAAACATTTTTTAGATTATGGATTAACAGCTTGTACTTTGCTTAGAGCATAAGACCTTAATCTAAGGCGAAGTTTAATTTAAATTGTATTGAACTAGTTTAATTGTGATTTGTGTTTCAACATTCTTTACTTTTTATAGGCTTAACTCTTCATCTGCGATTCTTAAACAGTCTAAGTACTCCCCTTTCATCTGAAGCTGATAATTTGTCATAAAGTTGGCACTGAAAGACATTCTTAAATCTAATGTGTTATCAACTTGTTTTGTAAAGGCAGTGTTGGCTTAGTGGTTAGAGCAGTGTCCTTGAGGTCTGAGAAGGTTGCAAATACCTGATTCAAGCCTTACAGCCTCTAAGCTGGGTTCCTGAGCAAAACCCTTAACCCCACCCTGCTCCCTGGGGCACCACACAATGGCAGCCCAATGCCACTAAAACTGAATTAAATGCAGAGACCGATTTTCCCCATTGTGGGACAATAAAGGGTTTTACAAGATATTCAGATACTAATTATTAAAAACACTTTTATGTCCCTAATAGAACACTTTACTCTCAATCTGCAGGTTTACTAGTGGTTTGCAGAATTTATAAAAGTAATATGGGAGGCAGATCTTTTGGTTATCAGGCTCCTCTCCTGTGGAACCAACTACCAATTTTAGTCTGTGAGGCAGACACCCTGTCTACTTTTAAGGATAGGCTTAACCACGTTCCTTTTTGATAAAGCTTATAGTTAGAGTGGCTCAGGTTATCCTGAGCTATCTCTATAGTTATGCTGCTATAGGCTTAGACTGCTGGAGGACATAGGGACCCCTTTTTCATCATTCTGTTTCATTCTATCTCTATTCTTACACTCTGCAGAATTCGTTAGCTCAGTCTCTAATATTATGCTCTCTCTCTGCCTTTTTTCTCATAGTAGCTTCATCTGGTCTCCCCTGTTTGACTGTGACACCATCCTTGAGAGAATGATCAGCTGTGCAGCTGCCATCAACACCTTTGTTTAAAGATGTTTGAGCTCTGCCTTTTTCAGTGTAGTCCTGTTTCTCTGACTGTGACTAGCTGGATGTGCTCTCTTTATCCTCTGACATGGGAGCTGGCTTGGAGCTTGTTTACCTGGCTGTGTTTTCCCTGGATGGGGCCGCCTGTGCAGTTGGTTGACACATGCCTTTTGTATCTCTGCTTGTTTCTGTATCTCTGCTTCTGTCTCCTTGAACCCCAGTCGGCCTCAGCCAATGGCCGCTCACACTGAGCCTGGTTCTGATGGAGGTTTCTTCCTGTTAAAAGGGAGTTTTCCTCTCCACTGTCGCTGCAAGCATGCTTAGTGTGAGGGGTTGCCTTCAAGTCAATGAGTCGATGCAATCAACTAGTTTTCCTTTGATAGAAAAGTTTGAATCAGTCTGACTGGATGATCTGGTGAACTGTAATGTGCCTTGAGATGACATGTGTTGTAAATTGGCGCTGTATAAATAAAATAGAATCTTTATCTGATAGTTTTTGTATGTAAAATAAAGACTTTGCATTTAGATTCTGAAATGGCCTCCTAAATGTAAAAACCTCAAACTAGTTGACTATCATAAAACGGGGTTTAAGGACACCATCTGGTTCAAACTAATTCTGAAATTTCTGAAAATAGTCGCAAATCATAAGCCACAATAAGCTTGTGGTAAAGGAAAGGAACTAAACAAAAATTGTGTATGTGTGTTTTTTAAAACAGCACTGGGTAATTTAGACTCATGTGGAATAAATACTTTATTAATACATGGATACAAATAAAGCTTTTTTGTTCAAGTGTTTCAATTAATAAGTAAAGGCTGCATAAAAAAGTGATTTATGTAAACGGGGTCAAATTATAATGTGTATTATATAAGATAAACAAACATTTTAATGAAAGAAGATAAAGAACATAAACTAACAAACAGAAAAAGCAATACAAACAAAAACAAAACACAGACAGGAAAAAAATAATCTATAACTCCAATAATTTCCGGTTCGGCCGTTTTCATTTGGCGTCTCTAAGGCTGTATGACCGAAAGTCATGTCTGGGTCAATTAACAATAATTGTATTTGTAGGAAGACGTTACATTATATTTCATTTTCAGCATTATTTATTTTTCTAACAACAATTAACATTTTATCGCCGGACTCCAAAAAGGTGAGTTTTTTTTTCTTTCTTTCTTTAAGTAAGGAACAACGGCAGTTCATAAAAAACGAGAGTTTTTCTTAGGCAGGCGGAAATAGTGGAAGAAGTAAGCTCACTTCCTTAGATAAAAAATATTTTGTCAATATAAGGTTGTTTATCATACGTTTAAACTTAGTTTGAAAATATTAGGCAAGTTGTCGTCACTTGCACAAAGGAGGCTCTGCAATTTGCAAACCATATTCTAATACTATATGGTACTAACGTTTAAGCTTTCAGGCCTGCTAAGGGGGTAGAGATTAACATATATATTATTATTTTTTTTTCAACGTGTCAAAGAAAAAATAAAAATAAAAACTCAGAACAGATTCAGAACATTTTTGCATTTATATATACTGCCACTTAGTGGCGAAGAACCTGCATTGCGTTTTTATGTACGGGGATCGATGCAAAGCTTCTTAATGAAAATAAACAGCAAAAAATTAAGACTATAACCAGTTTAGACTGTATGTCTCTTTCCAAGCCAACTCTCTGATCAGCGTCTCCGAAAAGACTATCTACAGGGCAGAAAATCGTTCGTAATAGTTATTGTAAGGAACCCATAATGCATTGCGTGAAAACTAACAATGTGATATTTTGTAACCATAAAATCAAACAAATGCAGCGGTTTGTTTATCCATGGCCGTTAGAATGAGTTGATATTTTGCTATGAGGATACATTTTGAAACGCACACAGAGATAATTATGAAACCATAAGTTAAAACGCTATGTAGTTTAGAGACTACCCTCCCCTCGTCTCGAGGAAGTCAGCTTTGCGCAGTGGCAGTATCGTAGCCTATGAGGTTTATCCGAGGCGCGATTATTGCTAGTTGAAAACTTTACCCAATACCCCGCCTTGACGACTTGAAATATAGTCGGCAATGGCAATTTTTGACGGTCTCTACGGAGGCTGATCATGCTGTAAAAAGCAATATATTGACAACTTATCTTAGTCGTTCATTATTTATCTTGTCGGGCTGTTAGTTTTATTTTCAGTGTACTTAGTTTATTTGGTCTTCGCCCCCTTAGAGGAAATTCAATTTTCGCTGTTGTATGGGTGGGCGAGACCTATAAGTCCGTCTGTGCCCTTTATATTTAATAGGGAGGCAAAAAAATGATAATTGTAAAGGATGTGCAGAAAAAGAAAATGTAGAACATGTACCGATGAACTGTAAAACTTATGAACCTGGAAGGGAGAAATTGAGAAGAATTGTTGGAAGGACAGGCAAAGAATGGAATATTGGGAAATAAAGGAAATAAAAGGGATATTTACTGATTAAGGAAAGCATTAGAATAAAAAAGTAAAAAATATAATTTGATTTAAATAAAGTAATGATGCTACACACTCCTGTACAGTAGGTGGCAGTATGAAACATATAGTTGGTTTCGATCCGCCATAATAGAAAAGAAGAAGAACGCATATAGAAACTTCCTTTAATGTGTTTCCTGTTCTCATCGTTGCCTATGCATCGGATCTAAATGCAAGCGGGTCTTGTATAAATATAGCTAGAGGAGTTACTAGGAATGAAGCCATTAGTGCAAGAGAGATTTATCGGCGACAAGGCACATTATAAATGTGACGAGGCACTCAGGGCAGGTATTTTAAATGACCAGCAGGTGTCGCCCTGCGTCAACGGGACTGTGGCCACAATATTCTACCACCTTGTTCTTCATAGTCAATAAATGGGACATTTATGAATAAGATCTTTGTGGAACTTTATTTTTGGTATGTAAATACTTTTTCTGGCAATTATTTAACCATATATCTGAAGAAAAAAAAATCCACAACAAATCCCTGCATTTCCATCCACTGGCCTAAAAAGTTTGAACCTGTTTGAACCTATGACATGAGATAATATTCTCATGGAAATAATATATTTAACCATATATCTAACCATATGTGTGGAAAAACGGCTAAGATAAACCTATGCAATTTTTCTATTATTAAAGTGGTTTCTGTTAAATATGTTTTGTACGTTTTTAACTGAATTGATATTATCTTTTTAGCTGTAGCCCTATTGAATTTATAGTTCTTTACCCTATAATTTGGACTGAATTCTGCTTTCTCTGGTCGAGTAAATTCACTCAAAGAAAAAAAAAGTTGTATTTGTATGGGGGGCTGTCAAAGAATATCGACATTGAGGTAAATACACTCTACCAGAGGAGAGATCACAATTAATAAAATATGAATTGTGCTTGTTGACTGCTATATTTTTTACAGGAAAAACATTTCTTATGCCGGTTCTGCTGGGGCAGCAGAACAAGAGACCTGAAGACTGGCTGGTTCTGTGCTGGGATAGTTCAGAATCATGCAGCTGATGGTCGAAAAAAGATTTTGCACAAACTGCTGAAGATGCACAAAACCCAGGAGAAAATGGAGTGTTAAGTCAGAGGCTTTAAATAATTTTTAAAATGGATTAAAAAAACCTGTTGCTCTAAAATAGACCCTCCCTGCATTTGATTCAAACAAAACTTCCTTCACATAAAAAAAATAAAAAAAATAAAATTGATTTACTTTTAGTTCAGTTTAAAATAACCTCCTGGAACACTACAAAATGTTTTATAAATTGTATCATGAGTTTTACATTTATTTTGAGTATTTTTAATCTCTTTCTGCCTCGCTGATGTTGATTTACATTAGCAACACATGTAAAAAAATATACAAATTAGGTGATTGTGTGATAACCAAACCCCTGGCATGAGTTGGAGGACAACCTTATATTGTAAAGGCAGGTAAATTGGCGGTTGTAGCTGGAAACCCCCATTTGAAAAATAAAACAGCCTCACAAAACATGACATTTCCTGAAAATGGTGCTATTTACAAAACTTTTTTTTTATTTGGGAGTATTAGTGCTCCTGGTAAAATAGCTCTAACTTTTGGGTGGAAACTGGTTTCATCATTCATTCTTTTCGACATTTGATTTATTAGCATATCTCAAGCTCAAATGCACTGAAGTCCTTCACCTCATTTTAAATACCATCAAACAAGAAAAGATTTTACCTGCTGACAGACCGGTTTTCTGTACTGAGCTTCAATTGTTCCCTCAGCTGCAGAGAACTGGTATTCCTGCAGGTGACAGACTTGTCATACAGCTTAAAATCTGTACTATGACTGAATTTATCTAAAAATGTTAAATGATTGTTGTTTTTTCTCTCAGATCAGAAATCTAATAAAACTGAACCATAGGCTGACTTTTTAATAACTGGACAAATAACATGAGTAAATAAATGAAATACGTTTTACTACAGTTGAATGTCATGTAAGTATATATCATAGTTGACTGAATAGATACAAGTACTGCAGGATTTAATGAGGATACCGTCTTTAAAGAGCTGTTTAACTATATCTTGATCATAATAATGTTAAGAGTTTAGCTTGCACAGGCACACAACCCATCTACATAATAATATGCATGTAAATAGACAAAGCATAAACCTCTCCTGGATGACAACTACCTAAAATGGGACACGGCCCATTCACGGCAGAGGAGAGTAATGAAGTTGGTCCACAGCAACCATGCAGTGTTTTAAAGTCAGGACCTTCTCATTTTTTATGTGTTTGGGCACAACTGAGCTCCTGAAGTTCACTGAGGACCACTGTAAAAACATCCAATGTGCATGCTGGGACCACAAAAACATTACACTGCTTATGAACACGGGATCATATGGCTTGTTAAAATAATACGATAAAAGCAACAATTTCCAATAGTTAAGTTTTGAGATAAGGGGTTTGGACCTCTAAATGAAAAAAACTAAAATCGTACGTTCATGAGATACAGAGTATGCTAAATGTGAGGGTCCTGCTCTGGGAGAAAAAAGATGTTAAACCTTTCAGACCTCAATTTTTGTTCATATTTCCCACAATGAAATGCGTGCTGTAGCATGTGATACTTAAAAACATATATGTATATATATATATACACATACATATATATAAACTCCTATGTGGTCTGAGGTAATGACAGTTTTATGAGGCACAAGCAGCAAGAAAAGAGGACAGGAGAATAAGACGCTCCAGCGACATTCAACAGCCGCTGAGAATTTTTTTTAAACATAGGGCTATATATTCTTATAGATCAAGAAAACATTTATAGCAACTAATACATTTTTCCTGTTTATTTATCATCAACTTTTTTTTCTTTTATAGCCTGTAAATGGTTGTGTGCTTTAAGTAAATGCTTTCAATCTCATTGTACTTGTATAATGACAATAAATGAAATGGAATTCTGATTCTGATTTGAATTTAAAAGGTGGAAAGTGAAATCCACTGGACAGACAAGCACACATCAGTAAGCTGTTTTAATTAAACAAATGACACAGAATCCTCAAAATACTTCCTTGATAAAAATGGAAATCCGGACCGAAAATTGAGATAATCATTACATTTAGCATCAATTCCTAAAAATCTTATTCAAATCTGTTCAGTAGCTGCTTTTTTAGTTATTCTGCTAATGAAGAAACACATACAGCCCCTGTAGGTTAAGTCTGTTAAAGTTGAGTTTGCCTAATTTCATAACAATATTTAATAAGAACATTGTTTGTTCAAACTTTTTAGGCCAGCGGATGGAAATGCTGGGATTTGCTTTCACCTCACATCTAACTCCATAGGTCTACCGTTGCAGGTCTTCCTCAAGATATATGCCTATACAATTGTCTGAGAAAGTATTTTCCCATAAAAATGGCTCTACAAACACATCCGATTAATAAATGTCCCATTTTTTGACTATGATGAACAAGGTGGTAGAATATTGTTGTCGCATAGGGTGATTGACGGTCCCTTTGGCGACACCTGCTGGCTATTTAGGGTACCTGCCCTGAGTGCCTCATCGGACTTTTTATGTGCGTATTTCATCGCTGATACATCTCTCAATGGATATATCTATTCCCAGTAAACCCAGTAACTAAATCCTACTTTCATTTAGAACAGATGTTAGAAGGTAATACAATGAAAGGGCGTTTTTCCATGCCTGCCTGAGTAGGAACTTTATTTTGGAGAGCACCCAAGTCGGGTTTGAAACGAAATGTGACCTACTGGACGGTATTTTGTTTTAGGGGGTGAAAACGAAATAAAATCAAACAATTTAAACAGGCAAACAGCTCGTTTTTTCTGCTAGTGTCTTGTATACCCGCGGAAACGGAGTGATAAAAAGTACATCGGTCCAGCTGGAACCTCCTGATTTCCGACTTTTTCGAGCCCTAAATAATGATGCACAGGATATGACGTCATTGCTGTTAACGCCACTAAACAGTGGTGAACAAACACAGCTGAACCCTGAATAACACGACTTTTATGAAAGAAAAACTTATCCGCAACTGATTTCTCTTCATTTTTCTCATTAGAACTGACAGCAGCACTACTTGCTTTCAAATATTAAATATGTAAAAGAAGCAAAAACATTTGGTCAATTTGCATCCTACCCTGGAACGTTGCTGAGTTTAACAGTAATTGCCGATTTAAAATTCTGTCATAAACTAGCTGGATTTATCTTTAATACTTTATTAGATATATGATTCTTTACGTTTTTAGAGCCGGGAATGTAGTTTTTAACACTCGGTAACGTGGAATCCACGCCCACATTAAAACCATGACCGAGAAGGATGGAGCCCGTTCTTAATAACTTCTCTATTGTTAGAGGAAGTCAGCTTTGCGCAGTGGCAGTATCGTAGCCTATGAGGTTTATCCGAGGCGCGATTATTGCTAGTTGAAAACTTTACCCAATACCCCGCCTTGACGACTTGAAATATAGTCGGCAATGGCAATTTTTGACGGTCTCTACGGAGACTGATAAACCTGTTTAATGAAAACTATTCGACGTTGAGTGTTTTAATAGCGTATTGCATAATTTAGCCTTTGCATACAAGTTTGGTTTGAGACACTGCTTTGATGTAATTCTGTTGAAATTTTTGCATTATCTTCTATGCAGGTCAGATGTATGATGAACAAACTCCTCAAAAGTCATTCACCATTGTCATTTATAAAAATACTACTAATAAAAAAAGTTTACAAATAACATTTTCTCTTTGTTTGGAAAATATGATTTAGCCCAAAACAAGGCAATAACAACAAATGGGCTTGGTGTAATGACTACAACAAAAAGTATTTGCTTTTATAAATTTACTGAAAGAAGTATACGCCTCCCTTCTGCTGCTGTTACTACGTTTTCTCACTAGATGGCACTGTTGTAACACTGTAAGGCTTAAGCCAGGGTTTTAAATGGAGAGATTCAGAGGATGCTGCTGTTAATGTGGAGTAAAAATAGAGTTGAAAACATTTTTAAAAACCTGCCTAATCTAAATAAATAAAAAAAAAAAACAGCCTAGTCGTTTTTCAATAACCCCCCCCCGCCAGCGGAGAATAATGATTCAATTTTTTTTATTGAATAGGTATCTTCTGTTGAGTCATTTCCTCAATTCTCTATAGGACAACTTCATATATTTTATGAATGAGACTGATTTGATTAAAGAATTTCATTGGCTCATTCTAGAATAGGGTGAATTCTTGCTCAGTGAACGAGGCAGCAGTGGAGATAACCAGAGAAGATAACTACTGCTTGACTGACTGCTTTGATTCTGTTTATCTTTAATGAGTCATCCAAAACCTTCGACGTATATGTCAGATCCAACGCACACTAAATTATTTAGGGAAGTATTCCTTTTCATTATATATAATATTGATTTTGTAAAATCTAATACATAATTATTAAATCCATATAGCACGGAAATTTACCACAGGCTTAAAAATTTCATTGTGCAAATTTGAAAGGTAAATACATATATTTTATTTCCCATAAATTCCCTTATAATACACAGACATGTAAGATATATCCCCCTATCTTCATCTATGGGCTCCATTTTTACTACTCTGCTGAGTCTCTGCCACTTTGAGAGAACAGGGTGGCAGTTCATGGAAATAGATCAAAACAAGCCAACAACAGGTGTACCTCAAATCCCATCACGGACACGAAACAACAGAAAAACTTGTCTAGTGCGATAAGGGGGTTCCAAACTGGAGACTGCTGAAGAAAGAAGAAGAAAGTAAATATTGGGGAGATAGTGGGGGGCTCAGATCTGTCTTAGGAATCACCCTCGTTTTGCTAAGAAGGAAATATGCTACAATCAAAATAAATTCAATTTTTATAACTTACTCAAACTAAATGACATCCAAGGTCTGAACAAACAACTCGTGAAGCCTCAGTTAGAGACTGCAATACTTTTTCTCTTCTCCCATGCATGTGCACAGCACTGTTGTCATTCCAGCTTTTCACCAGAGGGGGCGGACGTCTGCTAAAACTCTTTGAGGTAGCTGTAATAACACGTTTATCTACTCTTGCATAGTATGACTTAGGGCTGGACGATAAAGAAAAAAAGCTTATCGATAAAAAAAACAATGCATATTGATCGATATTGATAATTATTGAAAAGATTGGAAACCATATTTTATGTGCAGCTCTGCCTGGACTTTTTATAAAATTGCTAAATGATTTAATTTTAATAAAGAACATAATTAAATCTGTATTTAAACAACTTTTTTAACTATAACAGAATTGTTTTAAGGAAAAATAACTTAAGAGACCTGATTTATGTTATTAAATACTGACAAAGAATAAACTAAAGTGACCAGAAAAGTGACCAAAATAAATATGACAAATAAATAAATGGACCCATGCATTATGTGAGAACACGGTTTTAGAAGGCTTTAAATGTGCTTGAGGAATTAGGGAATAGCACTAGGCTGGTTGTAATCTTATTTTGCTTGGGTTATATGAATGATAAAACTGCACGCTAGTTTCTGAAGTCCAATGGGGCTCATTGCTAGGGCCAGTGCTCTTTAACATCAATATGCTTCAAAATAAAATCAGAGCAATTGGATTAACAGTGTCATGCTAATGATGCTTACCTAAACTTAATCAAATACTAAATCAGTTTAAGTAATTTCCCTTGCACTTTCGGAAGTTTCGCTTTCCAGTTTACTTTATCCAATTCTTCCAATTTTCCAGTTTGAATTCCTAAAATCTTGATTGTGTATCTTTTCTCAGCCAACCCCCGTGTCTTTCTAGTCTCTTTCCAATTAAAATGAACCTGTCATGATATTGGCACTGATGGCTGGATCTGCTTAGCTTCGCCCAGCGCTCATTGTCACCCATCGAATTCACCTGTTGCTGCTTTCTATTTAACCTCCTAAGCCTGGGTGGCACGGCACCGGACAGAATTGAGTTCTGCTCATGTTTATCTTTTTATAGAAATGGCCAAAACACAGTCCCACATTGTTTCATCCTCACGCCTTTTAAAATGGCACTTTAAATTTTCTAAAACATGTTTGAAAGTAATTTTTTCACAAATACTTTGTGTTTAGTAGCCGTGTAAACAAATAAAATGAGATCTTAAAATTCCACCTGACATGTCTGACTCTGCTGGAATAATGCAAAAGCATTCCAAAAAAGACAATTAAAAACAATCCACTGGATTTTCCAAGTTTGAAGATGTTTCCCTTCCCATCCGGGAAGCTTTTTCAATTAAAAATTTCAGGAATAGCGTTGAGTTCAAGGTTTTATACAGTAGTCCAACAAAGCCTTGTTTTTAAAAACATGCATATTGGAACAGACAAAGGGGTCCACCAATTTGGCATGGGGGTCATGCAACAGCGTGAATTCATTTTTAGCCACACCTCCTAATGGCCGGAGGGAAACTAGAGGGTCAGACAGTGCAGGCAAAACTTAGGTGCAGCAGAACAATATCCAGGCAAGCTACAGCGCTTTGTGCTTTATCTGCTGTTATAACAGGAACTGTTTTATTTATTTATTGTTTTTCCTCCTCCACCAATAAATTTTTTATTGTGTGTAATAAGTTACTTTGTTGTGATAAACTACCTTTATTTATTTTCATAGTGGGGAGGATGTCCTGGGACCATCACAAATACGGCAGGCCAGGTCCCCCACCATGGCTGAGAGTTCATTCTCTTCAAGGTGAGATTTCTATTCGGCAAAGATATGAATAGATTCATATATTAGGACTAATGTGTCATAACCTCCTCAGATTTCTTTTCCTATGATGATTCAAAGTAGGTGTTAGATGCTGCTAAAGTGTTATTGTTTTTAAAGAAAATATATTCTTGAACATATATTTGATTGGTTTTACAGTGATAATGCACCAGAAGAGGAGTACCACGCTCCTTCTAGGCAGCTATGTTCAGTCTCAAGACCTGAGAAGCACAAGGTTCCATCTCCTTCAAAAAGCAAGAAAGAAAACTAGAAAGCAGGTTTTCCCTACTACATTTTCCTCGAAACATCCTCCAGGACCCCAAGTAGACACCACAACAAGTAGACATTGTATCAAAATGCAGAAAGGATACTAGCAGGCAGAAAGAATGGCATGTCAATGGCAATTTTTGACGGTCTCTACGGAGGCTGATATTTATGTGAAAGTGTAACATTGATTATGTCTTTAAAGCCTTAGTTCTGTATTTCTGTGGTTATGACAACGGTTGATGTTTTGAGCCTGTAGAACTTGCTTGCTGAAATCTTGACATTGTGTGGATTTCCCTTAAGAACAGTATCACTAAATTGCACATCACCCAAGACTCACCCCCAAAACCCAGTGAACTTTTGTCATCCTGTTTTCATTAAGTTTATCAATAGTAAAAGCAGAAACAAAGGTGGTCCCAAACATTCTTGAACGTTTAACAGACATTTAACTATCAAGGTATTTTGCAAAGCCCAAATCAATGTTTTTTAATGTCCTTGGTGTTGGCCGAAATCTATGCATTTTGAACCTCCTTAGTAAATATGATTACGCCCTTAGCAAGAGAGATAAATGATAGCTTCTTGTTTTCTTCGGTGTCATTATGACACAAGGTTTTTCAGGTTTGATATAGCACTGGAGTTGGGCAACACTTGCAGGAACCAATGCTGTCTGTAGCATACATCCAAGGCTGGGAGATAGTAAAAGCCATTTCCAAAGCAATAAAGGTCTCCACCAGCTAAATTGTAGTCACAATGGCATTTTTTGGACAGCTGTGAAGAGCATGGAATTTGATAGGTTTTCCTACTTTGGGAGACATTTTGATAGCTGGATTGCATTTGTCAACCTAAGGTGGCTTCAACTATTTCCAAACCACACCCATCATAGACTTAACATAGAAATAAGCCACACCCATCAAACAATACTTTCAAAGTATGTAGATCACAACATGGAATTAAAAAAATGTTCTAAAGCTAACAATATGCTTTGTAAAGCTACCACATGCAGAGTCAATATTTTTGATAGGCAGATAACATTGTATTGACTGGTAACTGTCTGCACCATTTTCTGCAAGCTCTTGTTTTGTGAATTGGAAACTGATTGTTCTTGATAAAACTACAGCATGTGTGTCTCCTAATGTTTTATCCTCCCCCAACGCTAAGTCTAGAAGTTACTGTAATGTTATGACCATCTATTGAGCAGAGGTGATGCCAGCTCACAATGAAATAACGTTTACGACCATTAGTTAACACGATACGGAGTGAATCTAGAATAGGGGTTCCTAGGTCATAGAGGCAGCTTTGCGCAGTGGCAGTATCGTAGCCTATGAGGTTTATCCGAGGCGCGATTATTGCTAGTTGAAAACTTTACCCAATACCCCGCCTTGACGACTTGAAATACAGTCGGCAAAGGCAATTTTTGACGGTCTCTACGGAGGCTGATATTTATGTGAAAGTGTAACATTGATTATGTCTTTAAAGCCTTAGTTCTGTATTTCTGTGGTTATGACAACGGTTGATGTTTTGAGCCTGTAGAACTTGCTTGCTGAAATCTTGACATTGTGTGGATTTCCCTTAAGAACAGTATCACTAAATTGCACATCACCCAAGACTCACCCCCAAAACCCAGTGAACTTTTGTCATCCTGTTTTCATTAAGTTTATCAATAGTAAAAGCAGAAACAAAGGTGGTCCCAAACATTCTTGAACGTTTAACAGACATTTAACTATCAAGGTATTTTGCAAAGCCCAAATCAATGTTTTTTAATGTCCTTGGTGTTGGCCGAAATCTATGCATTTTGAACCTCCTTAGTAAATATGATTACGCCCTTAGCAAGAGAGATAAATGATAGCTTCTTGTTTTCTTCGGTGTCATTATGACACAAGGTTTTTCAGGTTTGATATAGCACTGGAGTTGGGCAACGCTTGCAGGAACCAATGCTGTCTGTAGCATACATCCAAGGCTGGGAGATAGTAAAAGCCATTTCCAAAGCAATAAAGGTCTCCACCAGCTAAATTGTAGTCACAATGGCATTTTTTGGACAGCTGTGAAGAGCATGGAATTTGATAGGTTTTCCTACTTTGGGAGACATTTTGATAGCTGGATTGCATTTGTCAACCTAAGGTGGCTTCAACTATTTCCAAACCACACCCATCATAGACTTAACATAGAAATAAGCCACACCCATCAAACAATACTTTCAAAGTATGTAGATCACAACATGGAATTAAAAAAATGTTCTAAAGCTAACAATATGCTTTGTAAAGCTACCACATGCAGAGTCAATATTTTTGATAGGCAGATAACATTGTATTGACTGGTAACTGTCTGCACCATTTTCTGCAAGCTCTTGTTTTGTGAATTGGAAACTGATTGTTCTTGATAAAACTACAGCATGTGTGTCTCCTAATGTTTTATCCTCCCCCAACGCTAAGTCTAGAAGTTACTGTAATGTTATGACCATCTATTGAGCAGAGGTGATGCCAGCTCACAATGAAATAACGTTTACGACCATTAGTTAACACGATACGGAGTGAATCTAGAATAGGGGTTCCTAGGTCATAGAGGCAGCTTTGCGCAGTGGCAGTATCGTAGCCTATGAGGTTTATCCGAGGCGCGATTATTGCTAGTTGAAAACTTTACCCAATACCCCGCCTTGACGACTTGAAATACAGTCGGCAAAGGCAATTTTTGACGGTCTCTACGGAGGCTGATATTTATGTGAAAGTGTAACATTGATTATGTCTTTAAAGCCTTAGTTCTGTATTTCTGTGGTTATGACAACGGTTGATGTTTTGAGCCTGTAGAACTTGCTTGCTGAAATCTTGACATTGTGTGGATTTCCCTTAAGAACAGTATCACTAAATTGCACATCACCCAAGACTCACCCCCAAAACCCAGTGAACTTTTGTCATCCTGTTTTCATTAAGTTTATCAATAGTAAAAGCAGAAACAAAGGTGGTCCCAAACATTCTTGAACGTTTAACAGACATTTAACTATCAAGGTATTTTGCAAAGCCCAAATCAATGTTTTTTAATGTCCTTGGTGTTGGCCGAAATCTATGCATTTTGAACCTCCTTAGTAAATATGATTACGCCCTTAGCAAGAGAGATAAATGATAGCTTCTTGTTTTCTTCGGTGTCATTATGACACAAGGTTTTTCAGGTTTGATATAGCACTGGAGTTGGGCAACGCTTGCAGGAACCAATGCTGTCTGTAGCATACATCCAAGGCTGGGAGATAGTAAAAGCCATTTCCAAAGCAATAAAGGTCTCCACCAGCTAAATTGTAGTCACAATGGCATTTTTTGGACAGCTGTGAAGAGCATGGAATTTGATAGGTTTTCCTACTTTGGGAGACATTTTGATAGCTGGATTGCATTTGTCAACCTAAGGTGGCTTCAACTATTTCCAAACCACACCCATCATAGACTTAACATAGAAATAAGCCACACCCATCAAACAATACTTTCAAAGTATGTAGATCACAACATGGAATTAAAAAAATGTTCTAAAGCTAACAATATGCTTTGTAAAGCTACCACATGCAGAGTCAATATTTTTGATAGGCAGATAACATTGTATTGACTGGTAACTGTCTGCACCATTTTCTGCAAGCTCTTGTTTTGTGAATTGGAAACTGATTGTTCTTGATAAAACTACAGCATGTGTGTCTCCTAATGTTTTATCCTCCCCCAACGCTAAGTCTAGAAGTTACTGTAATGTTATGACCATCTATTGAGCAGAGGTGATGCCAGCTCACAATGAAATAACGTTTACGACCATTAGTTAACACGATACGGAGTGAATCTAGAATAGGGGTTCCTAGGTCATAGAGGCAGCTTTGCGCAGTGGCAGTATCGTAGCCTATGAGGTTTATCCGAGGCGCGATTATTGCTAGTTGAAAACTTTACCCAATACCCCGCCTTGACGACTTGAAATACAGTCGGCAAAGGCAATTTTTGACGGTCTCTACGGAGGCTGATATTTATGTGAAAGTGTAACATTGATTATGTCTTTAAAGCCTTAGTTCTGTATTTCTGTGGTTATGACAACGGTTGATGTTTTGAGCCTGTAGAACTTGCTTGCTGAAATCTTGACATTGTGTGGATTTCCCTTAAGAACAGTATCACTAAATTGCACATCACCCAAGACTCACCCCCAAAACCCAGTGAACTTTTGTCAGTCGGCAAAGGCAATTTTTGACGGTGTCTACTGAGGCTGGTTTTTATGTGAAAGTGTAACATTGATTATGTCTTTAGTTGTGTTTTCCTGTGGCTATGACAATGCTTGATGATTTGAGCATGTAGATCATGCTTGCTGAAATCTTGATGTTGTGTGGATTTCACTTAAGAACAGTATCACTAAATTGCACATCACGCAAGACTCACCCCTAAGACCCAGTGAACTTTTGTCATCCTGTTTCCATGAAGTTAATCAATGGTAAAAGCAGAAACAAAGGCGGTCCCAAACATTCTTGAACGTTTAACAGACATTTAACTATCAAGGTATTTTGCTAAGCCCAAATCAATTTTTATTATTGTCCTTGGTGTTGGCCGAAATCTATGCATTTTGACCCTCTTTAGTAAATATGATTACGCCCTTAGCAAGAGAGATAAATGATAGCGTTTGGTTATCTAACATAACCCCAGTTCTTAGAATAATATGAGCGAGGTGTCTCGCTATGGGATGCAGCCTCCTGCAGCCCTGATAGAAGCATCTATCTCGATCTGCCAATCCTGATTGGCCGGTGGAAGTGCCCGTCATACGCCACGCCCCGTAGCTCCGACTACTAAAGCGTGTGCGGATCACGGCACTCCAATTCAACAAGCAAACCTCTTCTCGCCGCCCTGCAAGAAGGGTCGTCTGGCGAGACACCTCGCTCATATTATTCTAAGAACTGGGGTTATGTTAGATAACCAAACGTTCTTTTTCATAATATTCACTCGGTGTCTCGCTATGGGATATGGTAGCTCCCGTATTGCCAGACAGCTTATCGAACAAGAACCGGCCGATGGGGAAGGTCCACAAGGTCAGTTATGACTCTAGGACCGCACTGGCCACGCACGGTCCAGACACGTCAAGCA